TTGTTTTAAAACATTTTACTCAAAATGTTTGATCACTCAAATGTATTTCAAAAGTAATAATACTAATAAATTTTATATTATAGTTAATTATTACTAATACTATACTGTATAAAGATATTAATAATCGTCAAAATAAATAGTTACAAACAATTTAGTTGCTTATCATGTGACTAATAATTTTTCATTATCTGTAGGTATTAACATTTGAAAATTTGTAGTATTTTTAGCTATTAGTATATTATTTAGTAAATTTTAAAAATATATGATATATAAAAATACAATAGTTTTTGTAAACATTTTTATTATTGTTATAATATTATTTTGTAAGAGTAGATAATAACTTGTTATATATATATTGTATTTTTAAAAAATTACATGAACTAAAAAGTCAACTTCTCATCGGATATTAAATATTGATTAATAAAAATAAAACAAAAAATTTTGAAAAATTTAATAATAAAGGATTTCTGTGTCGAAAACAACAACACTAAATGTTTTCAAATATCTTATTTTTATATTAAAAAAACACTATTACTTTATCGTTATGATCAATAATAATACTGTATTATTTTTTTAGTATATTTATATTGTATAGAATATATCAAATATATAGTAATACATAATACCATACATTTTTTCTACAATATATTATATTATTTTTATATACTTTATTTACTATAATATAAATCTCTTTAAATTTATATTAATGCTAAAAGTAAATAAAATTAATTTTTTGTTGTTTTGAGTAGTACTAGACGTAATGCCAAATAAACATTTGACATCAAAACAGAAAATCAAACAAAAAAAACTAATATATCATAAAATTTTATATATTATATTATAATCCCGATATTTAATAATATACTTTTTTATTAAAACTACTAATTTATTTAAGAGTAAATTAATTTTTTGTAAACATCTTATGATCCCATTTTTTTATTGTAAATTAAATTAAATTTATGTTAGATATAGGGCTTATTAAAGCTACTAAAACAACTGAAACTATAATTTAATATTGTTTTTAAAGCATCAAAAAGAATACATTATATATATATTTAAAAAAAATATATTTGAGATGTTTTCAATAATACTAATTATAATAAAAAATCGTATTTTTATTTTATATAAATCACAAAATTAAATTGAATGCATCAATAATTTTGATTTTCATGCAAAACAATTACATAATTTTTTTTTATATTTAAAAATTGTATATTAATTAATTTTATATAAAAAATATTAATATTATTTAATGTTTCGAAATTTTTAATTTAGTTTTAATATCTAAATACAAATACAGTTTATACAAAAATTGATGATAATAATAATAATTATTATTATTATAATTTCATGTATAAATTAACTGTATGTATGTCTAGATTAACTACAATTATTGTTTGTATAGTATATATACTAAACTTATCTATCTATTAAATGTATCCATTTTATAATTAGCTCATAAAAATTCATTTAAAACCATATTAAAGAATAATAATTTAATATATATTTTAATCTGAAATTAATTAGTATAAAATGTATTTATGCGCCTATTTATAAAACATATTGTCATTAAAATTTAATTCATAATTATAATTCATAGTAAATGATAATTTTAATCACACATTTATATTTAACTCAAGCTGTTTTGATGGTTATTATATTTAAACAATTATAAGATTATATTTGAATTTTATATCATAATTTACTAAATTAAACACTAAAAATAATACTTTTATAAATATAAAATTATTTAGAAAAACAAAAAATCTTATATAATACTATAATAGCTAATACAATAGCTATAAATATAAAAATTACATGTATTTACTGTAAAGTACAGTCCAATTTGGTTTTACTGTTTAAATATTATATTATTATGTTATAAATATAAATTTGATATTTTTTACTAAAATATTTATTTTAATATAACAATAACATTTACAGAACAGTATATTCTACAAAATAAGTATTTATTTTTTTAATGCATTTACTAAACTGTATTATTTTTATATTTTATATATATATATCTTATATCTTAAGTCTTATTTTTATATTATTAATCTTATATTTTTAAAACTACTTTAAAACTACTTTAAAACTTCAGTACTATTGGTAAATCTGCAATATATGTAATACATTAATTGTAGTTTTATTTTAAATTTCTAATTTTATTATAGTTTTAGTATATATATTATCAAAATTTATTTTTTAATTTTTTAAAAATTTATTCCACACTTACCCAGACATTAGTAACTGATGTATTGGTGACTATAAAGTATATAAATTCCAAATGTTTAATAGATAACAAAATTACAAAATAATTAAAAAAATAATAATTATAATAATATATCCAATTTTAATACACAATCAAACCAACAACAAAAAAAGTAAAAACTTATTTAGTATCACATTTTATAAATATATATTTTTATCCTAACAAAATTTTACACTAATAATAACAAAAATAATAATTTATTATTATTATTATTATTTTAAAGTAAAATCAACAACAATACTGTATACCATTCAAAATGTAATAAATTTTAGTTGAATTGTTGACTAAAATAAATTAAGTGATTAAATATAATTAAAAGCAAACTTTCTCTATGTGTTGTTATCTAATAAATTAAAAATAAAATAAAAATTAATTTTTGAAACAATAACTTATAATAATAATTTGTCATTTATAAAAAACGAGTGACTTTAAATTGTAATTAAATTTTATCACAAAATTACAGTGTGATAAAAGCCTAAACTAAATAAATACATTTATTACTAAATTAACAAAAGATTTTTATTATTATTATTATTAAAGTCATTCATATGATATATTAAACTCTATATATATAATGAGTTTAATTTGTTTTCAATGGATTTATTTGTTTGTATAAAAATATATCTCAGTCTCAGAATAATAATATTTTTTTAAAAAAAACAATACAATATTGTATAATATAATATTAAATATTTATGTGATTTTTAATTATATGAACTTTTATAGGTCAAAACATTACATACAGTACTTGGAAACACACAGATAGGAAAATACCTGTGCCTTAAGCTCAGGTATGGCAAAGATTATACATAGTATTACATACACACACACACACACACACACCGTATACTGTAATACAAGAAATGGCTTATTATTTGGTTAACTTTAAATAAATCAGTGACTTATATACTCAAAAATAACATTTTTATAATAGGGTATTGTATGCTATATCATGAGTTATTTGTAATACATTTTTTTGTGTTTTTTATTTTAGTTTTGCTATTTTTGATGATTCAATTCATTTGATAACCAATTCATAGCTACAAAAAATTCACGACAAAAACAAAACATAATAAATAAATAAAATAAAAACGTTTTTTTCACTCACACGAGGATTCATTGACTTTAACGGAGTGTTTGTCTATTAAAAAGCAATAATTTTTGTTTAATTTCTTTAATAATTTTCTTAAAAGAAAAACTTGTATTTCAATCAAATATTTCAAATTTATTTTGTGATTTATAGTTTTTTTAGTAGTAGTAGTAGTAATAATAAGTAAAATAATTATTAGTTTTTATTTTAGCCAATTACATTAAATGTAAAATAATTATAATCATATAAAAAATATTTTCAATTCAAACTCAATCATAACAGTATAAAATAAATAACTTTTAGAAATATTTATAAATTAAATATACAGTATTTATTTTAAATAATAATTACCGTATTATTATTTTAAATAAATATCAAATAAACATTTTATGTCATATAAATTAATGAATGATTTTATTTATCATTTAATAATTTATAACTAATTTCTAAATATGCAATACATTTAAAAATGGCAAAATTAAATAATTAATACGATTTCCAATTGTTTATTATAATTACAATTTTATATAAAAAATTATACAAACATTTATAATGTTGTTATTTTCATATTTATCAATATAAATGAATTACAATGTTTTTTTATTGCAAATAACTTTTAATTAATAAAAAAAAATTAACAATAAATTGCCTAATGTTACAATAAATAATAGTTTGCCAATTAATGTAATAAAACAATAATATGACACACAAAATAAATATTAAATAAAAATAAAAAGTTTAGACAGATAATAGCAATTGTTTTGCGATTAAAAATAGCAATTATTAAAAAAATATATCAAATATTTCTAAAACAAAATAAAACATTATTTTTTCAAAAAAACGTCATAATAATTAAACTAAAATATTAATATTTTTTTTAAATAAGAAGCTCGATAATGTGTTAAGTTTTAATGAAAATATTATTAATTAAAAAAATGATATTAGTGATAAAAATTGTGATTCAAAAAATGCTAGATTATTTTTTTTGTAATTATTAAAAACATTAAAATACACTTTGAGGTAGAATTTTAGGATAATATCATTAATTAAATAATTATTTAAAAAACAATGATTTCAAGATTTTTTTAAAAAAGATTTTTAAGCAATAAAAAAATAACCATGAAAAATACATTCATTAATTTCAATTAATATTAATATTTAAAAAAAACATATATTAATATCAAATTTATAATGACTCACAACTATTAATATATTATTATTTTTTTTTTTTAAATGATCACTTATTTAAGGCATATTTTGTTTGTTTTGATAAATAAAACAACATTTAGGCACTAAATTCAACAGTAGATTGTCTACCAAAAAAATAATAATAATTTACTCTATTTATAAATAGATGGTATTTTATAATTGCAATCGTCTATTGTGTCAAATTTTAAGTATTTAATATAATATTAACATTAATTCAAATATATTTTTTCCAAAAAAAAATATTACTGATGTTATTATAATTAACAATTCATAATAAATTATTTATAATAATAATAATAGTGCTTTTTAAAAAACAATTGAAAACTTGTATTTAAAAAATATGTATAAAATTTATATCAAAAAATAAATTTTTGATATAAAATAATTTCTACTAAAAAAATTGAGTAAACATTGATTTAGATGACTGGGTTTTGAAGTGTTGTTATGTCAGCTCATATTTTACGGTCAACTGGATTCTTGGATTTCGGCATAAACTTTACCATCGATTTGCGGCAAAATAATGTTATCTTCGGTAATCTTTTCTAAGACAAACGGTGTGGACAACTCTATTATCTCTTTTGAGTCGCATTTGCGTTTGAAATAGTACTGCCAATTGCCGGCCTTGTATGGTATCGTACGTTTAAATTGACGAAACGTAACCGAAGTACCGGCCACTGGCAATCGATAAGGCATCGGTTCGGTCGAATACTTAACAATAATGACCACAGTTGGCTGTTTACCGTAGCTCACGCGTGACATCGTCGTGGGCGGCGGAGGCATTGATTGTATTGACGGCATAGACTTAGTTGTTGGAACAGTTCCGGGATTGTGATCAAAAGAAGACTTTGGATGAAAACCGTGATTCCCGTAACTCTTGGGCGGTGACAGACGACACCTGACAATTGATTCGGGAGTCTCAGTGGGCGTATCAATAGTCAGAGCAATATGTTTGCCGAGTATATCATCGTTATCTTCTTCTGGTGCAAACGGTTTCTCTTTAATCAGATCCCGAATGTTTGGCTTACAAACGGCTACTTCTGTCACATTGGTGTTGTTGTTGGCTGTTTGCTGTTCACACAATACAATCAATTTTTCTTTCAGACTTTTGTCATTTGTGTCGAGTTTCTCCATCTTTGTTCTGACGGCTTCCAACTTAATCATCAAAACTTTAGCGAATTCGTCGACATTTGACGGCTGAATACGATGTGAACCATCCATTGGACGCATTGTTCGCGGCTGATGTAATAAGAAATTATTTTTAATCTGACCATTGATTGTATTGAGTTTGGCATTTTGCTGGATCTGTTGGATCTCCAGATTCGACTGACCGATCTTCTTGTTTCTGATATTCCTGTTTTCACGGGAACCCTCCAGTTGTGGTCCGTTCGTTAAAGACATTGAATTGTTGGTTGAATGAGAAGAAGTGGACACATTGGTACTGGTGTCCTGAGCCGATGGTGGCAAATGTGGCGCATATGTCACGTGATACGGGTTTGGCGGAGTGGGCATCGCTTTTGACCTCATATATGACTGCATTCCCAGCCGTCGGACATTGTTGTTGCCAATCGGATGCGGTTCGTTGATAACTTTTGGCAGATGCAAACCGCCGCTAGTATTACGTTGAGCTTTCAAATTTTTTAGACGACGATTCAATATGTTTGGCGATACCCGTGTTGGCCGGCCATCCATAAACATATTAAACTTGTGACTAATGTGAGATCTATCGGCACTGTTGTTGGACGCGTCACCAGATTTGGCGGACGTTTGAAACTCCGAGTCTTCAAAAACTGTGGGCAGTGTTTTGTAATCACCGAACTCGCTGTGAGAACTGTAATCTTCGAGACTGGATTCCATCGATACGAATGACATCGAATCGATGTTGTTTGACGAATGAGTTTCATCAATGTTTGTGATGTTGACTGTGTAATCACTGGCTGCAACTTCGGCGGTGCCACCGACGGCACCCATTGGTTGGTCATCACTGATGCTTGCAATATATTCTATATACGTATCCGATTGGAAAAAATTTAAATAAATGTCACTCTTTAGTTGCTCCTCGACTTCTTGTTGGGCGGCGTTGAACACCTGTTGGTTATATCGCGGATCTAAATCATGATCAGCTGTCGGTTCGCTCAACAAGTCTTTTTTGAGTGTTTCTCTGACATTGTCGGACAGTGGTATAGTATTGGCATACTTGATAAACCTCTTATATATGGCACCGACAACTTTCTTAATCTTCTCCCTGTCCTCCGGTGCTATCTGTTTGAGACCTTCGCAAGCGTACCAAAACTTTAGTAGATTTTCTAGTCCGCCGCCCGATTGTACTAAAAACTTCATGAACAGGTCGGCGCCCTTTTCATCGTAAATCAAATGATAAAAATCGTGACTCCAGCGCACGTGCGGCGGTGTCTCGTAGGACACGTCCGAGTGTGGAGTCAATGAGGCCGATCCACATGGGGTTCGGTCAATCAACGGGTCACTCATAGATGACGAGTTGTTGACAGTTGTCGTTGTTGGTGTTGCGGCAGCAAAATTGGCGGTTCGTGGCGTTGGCATCGGTGGCATAGATGGCAATGAAATGGATGTAGAATATGATGTGGGCTGTGATGATGACAAATGATGAGCAATAGATTTCGATGGCTTTTTACCGATGGCCGTCGGGTTTACGGTATTAGCAGTTTGCTGGCCATTATAATCTTGTTGTAGTTTATCGCCGACACTCATATTGGACTTATCTGTTAAACAAACAAAAAAATTAAAATACTTTATATTCACATAAATGTTACTAAAAATTGATTATTGAATATAAAACACAGTTTATATCAGTAACTAAAATAATATACAATTTATAAATACAGTCTATTAAATAATACTTGATATTGTATTATCACATAAAAAAACTATTGAGACAAACATAATTGCTGTCACTTTAATCACTTAATTGAAATCCCTATTATAATAATTTATTTGATAACCAATTGATAACTTTAAAAAAAATAATAACAATGTTTTTATATAATTAATTCATTGATAAGAAAAAAATAAAATATTAATAATATATCATTAATTGATATATTGATATTAATTCACATGCAAGTCATTATATTGTAATTAATAGCTGTATTTAGTACTAAATAATTATAGACATAAAATTGTTATCAAAACTTTTTTTTTTTTTGAATTAACACTTTTAAAACACTTAATATTTTATTTGAGTGATATATTGTATTTTAAAAAATATAATATCATACCTTTAATGGCATTTAAATTAATTTTATTGGCATTAATTAATTTATTTTTATTATTAATAATATTAATTGTATCACTACTTTGATTGCTATTACTATTTACATTATTATTGTCATTATTATTATTATTACTATTACTACTACTACTTGTAGTAGTAATTTGTGGCAAATTATTATTATTATTACTATTATTATTAGCTATAATTGAATTACAATTACTATTAATAACAGTATTGTTATTATTATTATTATTAATATTTGTAACCCTTATTGCATTTGTTGTACTCATTATTAATAACTGTTGTAATAATAATTAATTAATTAACTAATTAACCAATGATTTAATGATGAAAACAATATTACGATTATTTTGATTGTATTTTGCATATTAATAATAATATATCATTTGATAATATTTTCTTATTGATAATAATTATCTCTTTTTTTTTTAAAAAAAATATTACATTAATTTCAATATGAAGTTTTGATTGACAGCACAAACAAAACTATAGACACAAAACTTAAAAACAATAAAAAACAAAATACTTTTAGTAAATTTTTTTTAAAAAAATTATTAGTTATTATTTATAATTACATACTATTATTATATATGATACTAATAATTATTTGTTTTGCAAACTTGTTTTTACTTTTATTTATTCAAAAAAAAAAAAAATTATTAAAAATAAAAGTTATTATTATTATTATTGTCGTCTCTTGTCTTATGAATTGTGTATTGAGTTAAACACATAATAAAACACATGAAAAACAATTACATAATACAAACACTGTGTTGTCATAACATAAAACAATTCAATAATAATAATAATAATAAAGTTTTCAAACTAATTATTGAATACATTATTCAACTTATGATTACTAACTAATGATTTAAAAAAACAAAATCAAATTAAATCCAAAACTTAATTAATATAAACCACAAAAAAATCGTAACAAAACTCATGTCATGTCTTTGTCAGCCATTTATTACTGTTTATAATAGCAGTCATTGAGAGAGCACTCACTCACTGACTCTCTCTCTCTCTCTCAATGGTCTCTATCATAGCTCTCTCTCTTTCTCTCTCTCTCTCTCTCTCTTACACTCATTCACTATCTCTCTCTTTCTTTCTCTCTCTCTCTCTCATGTGTTTTACAATCGCTGTACTAACTGTACGATCCCTTAGCTATAGTAAAATCCATAGCATAGTATGTTTTGAGTAATTTTACGGCAATTGACGTTATAATAGCATTTCATTCATATATTCAAACTTTTTTTTCGAGAGACAGTACACCTTATAGGACGTCCAAAAAAACCTTTCACCAAATGAATATCATATTTTAAAAATTTTAATATAAGTAAATTTTTTTTCTAAACCTATCTTTAACTTGAAATGTCTTTATGTATGGATCCGCTAAACATAGACTTATTTTGATAACACTATATCTTAATCAATCAACAATTTTATAGTATTAGTAATAATTTGATTAAAAAAAATATTATTCAAAATAGAAAACTATTCAAAATACAAAAATAACTTTTACACACAAACACACACATAACTTATATATATCTTTAAAATTGCATTACAATCTATTAAACTTAAATATAATAAGAAAAACTTATCTATACTTTACATAACAAATAAAATTATATTAAATACAAACAGTATTAAAACAAAAATTACCGATAATTAAAAATGACTATTTTAAATGTATATAAGATTTATATAAAATTAAAAATATATGAAACAGTGTATATAAAAAACAATTACCGATACCGGTATATAATAATAATAATTATAAAATATAAATTATAAACTAATTCAATTAAAATTAACAATTAGTTGTTAGCCTCGGGTGTTGGTCTGATTTTTTTCGGCCGTCCCCTAGGTTTCGGTATTCGTGGCTTTGAATCAGCAGTAATGGCCGTATTGTTGTTGTTGTCGCCGAACACATTGTTGACCAACGACTTTGGTTTCCGTCCCGGCTTTTTCTTCAGCTTTACAATATTATAAGTGTTGGCGCCGTTCGGATCGATGTTCTCTTTGTTTTCACTTAACATATCCACCACTTGTTGGACACACTTTTGGCATTCGTCAAGATTGACGGCTGACGCCAACGATTGCGGTTCTAGTTTGTCGTTGTCCTCAAGTTTGGCGGCCGAACACTCAGCGATTTCACTATTTATCAATTTTGTATTATCATTGATGGCATCTTTACTATTAGTTGCCGTCATTAGTTCCATTGGTTGTGTGAGTGCACTGTCGCCGACTCGTTGAGCTATCATATGGTGTCCATCGGTTGTAACACTGGCTCCGTCGGCGTCCTCTACAATCACATATTGATATCCGTCGGCAGTGGTTATGTATTTCTGGCCGTTTGACTCCTGGACTTCGAGCACCTGTGTTGTGTCAAAAGAGCTCTCAGGTGTCGTCGATTCGTAGTATTGGTACTGTCCTGTCATCAGAGTCGGGTACAAATCAAGCAGTTTGGCCGACATTGGCGGCGGAATTACTGGCATATAGTCCTACAATCAAATAATAAAACTAATAGCAATGCTTTTCGGGTGCAAATAAATGCTATATCAATGAGCTTACGGTACACTTCACGCCCTGACATTTGCTGAGATGTAGCAAAAAAGCAACGGTATGTTCGAGAACTGTCGCTTTATCGGTCTTATCGGTAACGCCCGGCACGAGGACCCGCAAGGCCTCGCACGAGCACTTCATACGCGACCGACGCAGCCGTTCCTTATGATTATGCAATTCGCGCGCTTCATGTGATGGACAGTATGGACGTTGCGAACGATCGCTATTCATCACCGATAACATAGAATAGTTGCCGATATCGCCGCCCGATTCCATGCACTGCAGCTGATATACTGGTCGATCGGTTGGCAGCTGACCGCCGTCGTTATCGCCGCCAGTAGTCATCGGTTCTTCAACGCAAGTATTATCATCGCTGGCCATCGATTCTGTTGTAAACGATTCGGTGCGCATATTCTCGTCAGCGGCGACCTCTTGATTGGTCAGCAGCAGAACCTGTGCGGCGGTGGTCGCGTCGGTCGAGACATTGGCCAACGTTTCCAATTGTGTCCAAACCTTTGGCGATTGAGAACCGATAGTCATTGCGGCGGAAGAAGAAGTTTCGGCCACCATTTCAGGACAGTTGTCGCGAATTGTTGTCGTCGTCTCCATAAAATCCATTTGTCTTTCGATCGGTAATATGTTTCGGTCACTTAACCCGAATCGAGTGGTCAATCAATTTGGTGTACAAAACAATAATCACTTTTTTTGTATTAAAAAATCAAAACAATTCAATCAATTAGTTATTCGAATACTATTTGAAAACAATGTGTCATTCAATCGACTGTCAAAATACATGATTGTATTGCACTTAGAGTTCGATTCGCGCCATAAATCCATTTGATTGGCTATAATAATACAGTTCTGTGAATACACTGTGTTTTCAATCAAAACAGTGATAACACTAAATGTCTTAACAGACAACTATATTATTGTGTATACAGTTAACACATTTTTAGTGCTCATAATATACTAAACAAATAGTGTTTGCAATGGTGTTTGTGTGCTATTTGATAGCAACTATTTTATTGTGTAGTTAACACTATTTGACTAACTGTTATATAACTGTATCGACAATAAGTTATTAATTAATTAATTAAATTATAATATAAATAAAATCATTTAAAAAGTTTTTAGCTGTAATTAAATATTAATTAAGTTTTCAATTAATTAGATTTCAATTGAAAAAAATAATATTTTTATTCATTTTTTTTTAAACATACAAACATTAATAAAGTTATTATTTTAAAAAATTACAAATAGTATTAGATAATTAAAAAAAATAAAACAATTTTTAAATAGTTTTTTAAACTTTTTTTTGATTTGACTTTTTTCTGTATCACAATTATTGGTCATAATATTGCAATTTGCGGTACTTTTTATTGTCATCTGTTTAAACAGCAATTGTATGACATCTGCACCGACCGTTTTTAAGCTGTAGATTAAACAGAGCCAACTGTCCCGGCATTTCAATTTCCACTTCATCGGTACATTTGCATCCAATAGTAAACACTTGACCCAAATAGTTATTTTCGTTGAGATGTTTGACAATTTTTCTCCACATATCCGACTCTTGTGACATATTCTCGAAATTGCCGACACAGTAGAGGGCATGTCTGGCCCGGGAAAGGGCGACATTCACACGGTTTTCGTTCTGCAGGAAACCAATTGATCCCATTTTGCTGCTCCTGACAAACGATATGACAACGATATTGTTTTCTTCGCCTTGAAAGCCGTCCACCGAACTGACCCGTACTTTAAGTTTGGGCGGTTCATTGGTCTGACTAAACAATGGATTGCATTCATCTACCAGTTCTTTCTTAACAACAAACACCTCTTCCTGTTCAAACATCAGATGTTTGATTTCGGATAACTGGGAGTTATAGGTTGCGAGAACAGTGATGTCGTCGCCTGAATATCCGCGTAACAGTAGATACTTAACAAATTCTACAATCATTTTTGCCTCGTGAAGATTGGATCGGCTTCTGTCATGTGATTGTCTGGAATGGGTGTTGTCTTCAATGTGTTTGTGATCAATGAAATACATATTTTTGCCAAATGTATAGTTGATATTGGGATAAACGGTAACTTTTTGAGCATTGGTTAACTTGATGTCGTAAAAGTTGGCCACTTTGAGCAGTTCTGCAATACACGGTCTCATACGGAACTGTTGTTGCAATTGCTGGTACGGCATATTCATTGTGACCATACGCTCGAATAGAGAGATATCCATTTTGTATTCCGTAGTCAATTCACGGACATTGGTGATCGGTCGCAACTGTTTGTGGTCACCGACTAGAATGATATGTTCAATGTTTGAAGGCATGGCCGCAACAATATGTCCTTCAAGTACTTCTGCAGCCTCTTCGACAATCATAATTTGTGGATCAAACATATCTATCAGTTGACTATATTTGGCGGCACCGGTAATCGTACAGCCAATCACTTGTGCCTCAGAGCACAACAAGCGCTGAAGTTTACAATATTTTGATTGATATTCAGTAATCTCTTCGCTAAGTGTTTCCCAAATATTATTACACCTTTTCTTCATGTGATCGAAGAATAATTCTCTCCAATAGAGATAAAGTTTCCATCTTTTATTAACTTGTGATTCGATCAGTGATTCCTCTGTCTGATTGTCTGATTGGTTATCATTTGATCCAATTATATCATCAAACTTCGTGCTAATGTCGTTCATAGAGTAGACATCTCTGACCCAATCCTCAATAATATCGTATAATTTTGTTGAAGATAAACGCTTTTGTTTGAGTTTTGTCCAATCAATGACTGATGTCTTACCAAATAACCAGTGCTTTATAGGATTTTCTTCTTCGTCGCCGATTTCACGGCTTAAACGATCAAAATAAGCGGTAAAGATGTTATTTTTCGGTCGTATAAACGGATCGATGACATTGTAATCCAATATTAGGGAAAAACTTTTCTTAATCATCTTAAATATGTTTTCCATTTCTGATTTCAAATTTGATAATCTTTTTTGTCTTTTCAAACATTTAATATTTTGTTTGAAAACCAACGGATAAAACTTTGGTCGCAAATTAAAAGGTTTTTTCTTTTGTTTCCTAAATTTATCCATAATATTAAACAACTTAAACTCTTCTAATTCTTTACTTTCAGATTTGCCGCCAATTCGGACAACATTTTGATTGAACTTCAAAATCCCTTCGAGAAACTGATCCAACGCATGGTTCTTATAGCAGACTATGAGAATCGGACGGCGATTGTCGGTTGGATTCCTAACATTTTCGTTATCCAACAAACACTTGACTAGTTTGAGGCCAACAAATGTCTTTCCAGTACCGGGTGGACCTTGAGTTATAGCAAATTCTTTAGTGATGGCCGCGTAAAATGCTTCAAATTGTTGGCCATCAAAAATGGACGCATTTTTGGCTAATAATTTGTGATTTGAGTCAATAAGTTTAACTGACTTTAACGGGTCTTTAGTATCATCGACTTCACCATTCAAACCATTAACTGCATCATTATTTTCCGGTGCAATACACGACATATCATAAAACGACTCATTATTTAAGTATTTTGGTTCAATAATTTTTCGTTTAAGTTTAACCAAATATTCCTCGAAGGGAACAGTTATTAGTTTTTGAAGTTTAGTCAATGTATGTGTCATTCCCTCGAAATAAGTCAATGACTCGACGCCAATGTACTCGAGGTTTGGTTTGAGTGCAAATTCAAACAACTGTTGACACTGTAGTTCATCCAAATCCACTTTAAGACTGAACTCCCAAATAATTTCATTTGAATTGCGTTCCGCCGGTTCATTGAGTCTACTCTTAACAATCACACCGAAAACCAGTGAATTATTGAATTTGTCGCACGAAAGACACATTAGATTTCCCTCAAGCAGTGGTTGAAAATCCTTTATTTTTTTGTATATCATAATTGTTTAGACAAATCTCAATGATATAGATTTAACCTAAAATCAAATTTACCTGAAGATTAACTGATTCGAGATGCGAGTAATCAAAGCTAAAGTCAATGGTAGGTCCGTATCGATTGTGGACAACAACTTTGACCGGTTTAATAAAAAAGTAAACATTTGAAACAATGTCCGGATGACTGTCAATCACTTCACGCAATGTCTTCTTCTTCTTCTTAAATACTCTTCGATGTTGTGGTTGTTGTCCATCTTCTTGTTGTTGACTGTCTTGTTGTCCACTATTTTCCAAATCCTGTTCCGTTTGATAGTCAATCAGTACTTGTCTTAATCTGTTTACATCGTCGACCAGCGGACGGACTAACTCTTCGCGCAATAAACCAAATTGAGTGCTAAGATAATGGTCACAGTCTTCATACTCTTTGTCGACCAAATTGGGCTCCAATTGGGGTTCATATTCTCGACGGATGTCATCGACCGTTGTGTGTGCCGTCACTGACCGAAAATTTGACCAAAAATTTTGTTGACGACTACTACCATCATCGGCAACAACAACAACCATACTTTAGATGATAACAACAACAACAACAACAACCATATAATAACTAAAGATCTTCTTCATCGACGACTACGACTATCACCAGAAAACAAAAACATATGATATGTTTGAATGAGTTGTCAATCAAAACAACCTGTAATTCAATACATAAGTAATCAATAGTTAGTTATTTATTATATATTTTTTAAGTAAACTTTTTTTAAAAATTGTTTATAATTTATGTTTTTATTTGTGTCATCAATAATGTTGTGTTAAATATTAGTCAACCCTATTATAATACACACAAAAAAAGTTTTACATTAAACATTAGATATTTTAATTTTTATAAAACTATTAACTAACGTTATTTATGGTATTCAATTAAAATATATTGGCGCACTTACATAAATAATCCAAGGTTCATTTAGTTTCAGTTACATTAATTAAATTTATATAATTATTAGATATACAGTATTAATAGTCTAAACAAAAATTACAGATTTAACTAATAATTATAATTAGTAAACTTTTATTTATTTATTTTTTAAGTAATACACAATAATATACTTTTTAATTAATAATCCGATTAAACAGTAATTTTTATTTATTAATATTTAATTTTGTATAAATATTTATTAATTTTGTATTAATTTTTTACATATTTACGATATTTGTCCATAAGTTATAGCTTTGAAATACCAATCGTTGCCATTGTTTTGACACAAATGATCATCAAATGACAGATAAGACAACAATAGTTCAGTCAAATCATCGCCAAAGCGATCAAACGATTGTCTAATCGTTTCATTTGATGTCATACTTGAAGACAATAATTATTATAGAAATGAATGAAAATATGGTTTAGTATTGTCTATGAATTGAATTCAATGTTTAAAAATATATTCAAATAAAAAATTATTATTTTATTTAATATGAAACACAATTAAGAATATATGATAAGTAATTTATTTTCATTATAATATTTATAAGTATAAAAATATAGGTATAAGTTATATCCAATAACCGCCAACACTGGAAACATTTTTGTGATTACAGTAGGCGTTAGTATTCTTCGACTTATCCAAAAAGTCACGCCACGTATCAGTTCGCTGTCGGCAATCATAATGTATGGGAACGGTATGCAAACGGGGTATACAAAGACAGTCGTCGTATGCAAAGTGAGAACTATTATGGCGTGGAATACCCGCCCAATTGGCGATAATACCCCACAGAGAAACATCTTTAACATCCAGAACATTGTTTCCCGGTATGACTCTATACTCGTCCAGTTTGGTTAGTAATTGATTGCGGGTTACATTGTCCACAATAATTGCCGAACCGTAATGATATTCAGGGTATTTATCCAGTGAATAGTACTCAATGGGAACGTGCCATCTATAGGTCGGTTGTCTATTGACCGTACGATCATCAACCGTAATGCCATTAATACCTGTTTTAAAGTTCGGCAATACTTTTAACAAATGGTCGACATCGACGAAAACCAAGTCATCGGCTTTCAGAAAATATTTTACTGATTGACAATACTTTTGTACCCATCGTTGTATTGCAATCCCTCTCAAAGTTAGGTTATAGTAGTCATCGATAATATTAAACTGAATGATATCGTGATAAGTGTCCGACTCTTTCTTAATTTTTTCATTAACCGTTTTGTTATCACTGACTGCCAGTGCAAACCAGACACCAATGTTATGACTTTTGGCAGTTCCGATCCAACCCGACCTTAATTGTTGTCTATATTCATTGAAATTACCCGATGTTCCGCTTGAGATAACAATAATCAGGTCGTGTCCTGTATTGCAATGTTTTGGATCAATGACTACTTGTTTAGTCAATTCAATCTCTTCATTGCTGTAAACATATCGTCGGTTACCACACAGTGATAGACCAATGTTGACGACGACTAACACCACAATCAGTGATACAAACTTTGCTAAACTTGTCATTTATTTTTGCAATACAACAATGACTGATAACTAATTAATTTTAAAATATAATGAATATGCTGTAAGAAAAGTATAAATTAATTTTTTGTTTAATAAAACATAAAACCAATTAATGATATAAATAGATTAATCACAATCCAATACACTGGATATCAATTGATTATTATACTGTTTGCTAAAATTCACTAATAATAATATATTTAGTGAATTTAATATAAAATATAAAACAATAATTAATTTTGAGTTTTGATTAATTAATTTTTAGATTTGCTTAATTAATATTATGTTATGACATATATAAAATATAATAATTTAATAAAAAAACATATTTTTATGTAGTTATATTATGAAATTATTATTTTTAATTTAATTATTAAGAAATACAAAATTTATTTTTATTAATTAATTAGATTATAATCTTATATAGATTTAAATACTTTAGTGAAATCTACTGATTTTAAATGATTTCTAACTAATTATAAAATAAAAAATACTATTATATTAAAATTATTGTAAGTTTAACTTACTTTGATAACACTTTTAACAACAATTATCTACTGAGTTGTAAAAGTAAGTTAAACTTACAATAATATTAATATAATGTGTGACATCAACTTTAAAAGTCTCAATTGACTATTATATTAATTTTTTTTAATTAACATTTACTAATTATATACTAATACTAATAACAAGTAAATACTGTATTAATAACTATTTATTACTAGTAACTATAATAACAATATAATTTAAACTAAATTTCAAAACAACAGAATTAAATAAAAAAATTAAATTATTAGAAAACAATTGATAATTTAAAAATAGTTTTAAAATTATTTAATTAGATATTAAATTAATAGTATAACTTGTATTTATATGATTAGATTTTTGTTTTATTTGTAGTAATATTATTATATAGAGTCTATTTTATAGACCAATGTTGACGACGACTAACACCACAATCAGTGATACAAACTTTGCTAAACTTGTCATTTAATTTTGAAATCAAACAATTTCTTAATAAATAAATAAAAAATAATAATAATAAGTAAATAAAAAATTAGAAAAATATGAGATACTAAACAAATGTTAAAAATAAAAAAAAAATCAATTAATTATATTAAATTTTAATAAGATAGTAAGAAAATTTTTAATTTAATTTAATAGAATTGACTAATTTATTATTTTACTATTAATAAAGATATACTTATAGTAAAAATAACTGTAAATATATTAATCTAATTTTTTATTATTATAATTAATATTTATTATTATATATTTATTATTATTTATTATTCAATTAATGATATACGGAAATTGGGAACCACTAAACGATCATAATGTTTGACATTAATCAATCGGTTATGATATATAGTAAAACACAGGTATTTAATATATTTATTGTAATTTATTAGACTTTACTTAATTGATTAATATTGAGTTTTACCATATTTGTTTAAATTACAATTAAAAATTAATATTTAAAATAAATTAATCGTAATTTTTATATAATATATTTATAGTACTGTATGTTAGTTTAGCATTAATGATATTAAATATAATAAACTTAATCACTGTAAAATATATATTTTTTTTGTAGTAATATTAAATTATTAATTTTATTTTAAAATAATGTACAGTATATATCATTAATTTATGATAATCTATTAATATATAACTGAATAATAAATAAAAAAGTTTATTAGTTGATATTTTAAAAAATATTTTTAATAATTATTATATATTTATTTGAAAAGATTTACATTAAATAAGACAAAATTAAATTATTAAAGAGATTGTTAAATAATTTTTTTTCCCAATTGTTATCAATATCTTTCAAATATGTTTTTACATTAAGTAAAACATTTTCACAATATTTTCATAAACCAATCGTTTCAATATTTTTGTTATATTATTAAAGTACAGTAATTATTATAATAAATGTAAAGTTATGTTAACTTATTTGAAATACTAAAAATTATAACACTATGTAATTGTAATAAATTATTGAAATATTTTTTTTTAAATATATTTGTTTGAAATAAGTAATCAATTAATAAATTGTGACACAAATTGAGATTTAATTTAAAACATATTTTCGACACAAAAGCAAACAAAATAATCATTTAATGAACGGTTCTTTACATGAGTTGCCATTCAATGGTTGTCTTTACTCTGTTTTTTGAATTACTTTTAAGTCTCTGGTGTTGTCTTTGATCCAGTTTTTGATGATATCTTTGAGCCGGCTTTTGACGGCGGTTTGTCTAATCCCTCAGTGTTTGTCCACGGTTTGTCTGTATCATCTGTTTTAGGACCCGTTGAAGAGCCGCCAGTCTTGGATCCAGTTTTTGAACCACTTTTTGATCCCGAAGTGAATCCAAGTGTATCACTACTATCTCCAGTCTTTGAACCGGTTTTTGATCCTGTCTTAGATCCTGTTTTAGATCCTGTCTTTGAGCCCGACTTTGATGTCGATTCGGAACCAATTTGTGAACCGGTCTTTGAGCCCGACTTTGATTCTGTTTTTGAGCCGGTTTTCGAACTACTGTTTGATCCGCCAATTGCCGAACCAGTTCTCGAAGAAATGATTGTTGAGCCAACTCTTGATGAGCCGCCGGTTGACGACCCAAGTGATGAACCGGCCTTAGAACCAGAAGAACTTATTGATGAACTGATGGAAGAACCGCCGCCACCACTACTAGAACCGGTGTTTGATAATGAAGAACCGGTGCCCGAATCCATAGACGAACCAATAGAAGAACCTGTTTTTGATCCTGTTTTTGATCCCGTTTTCGAACCCGTTTTCGAACCCGTTTTAGAACCCGTTTTCGAGCCGGTCTTTGAACCACTTTTAGATCCGGTGGACGAACCGACTCCCGAACCTGATGGTCGTCCCAATAACTTTGAATCCGATTCATCATTCAGTTTGGATCCGAGTTGAGAGGGCGTCACATCTTCTGCCGTCTGAGACGGAGGTTTGTCTTCAACGGCCGGTGTCTCCGGTTGTTGTTCCGGTGCTTCCTCTTCTTGTTTTGATCCGCAACAACCCATTACTGTTCAAACTATTAATGTATTGACTATTATATGTAAATTTATTTTTCAGACACTTCAGTGTATCAACTGTTCAGTGATGGCTTTCAACGTTATTTTTCAACTGATATTTAAATCAAATACTATTTTCAAATAAGTTTTACATTTAATAAATCTCATGATTTTGTAATAATTGTTATCAATTAGTCATCAAATTATTAACTCAATTAATATCTCGCGATTTATTTGAATTTTATTATTTAAACTTAGAAATGGATTTAAAATTATTTATTATTTTAGTAAATAACACAATTTAGGCTACAATTAGTTGATATCATCGATCAAAAAGATAAGATGCCATTCATTTTGCCGATTATAGCCATTGCTTTTGTAGGCAAACGGCTGTTCGGCTCTAAAGACCCAAACAGTAATCAACAACAAGAAGAAGCAGAAGAACAACAGTCAACAGACAGTAATATAAAAAATGATTTCAAATTGAATGACAGCGAAGATGAAAGCGATTGCGACGGACTTTCCAGTGACTATTCATCCAATCGATCAGTTATTTCTGAGATTTCCGATTCGGCCGCGAGTTCTTCGGATGGTTTGGAGGAAAGCGATGACAATCGGCAACAGTCGACAACTGTTTCGCTCAACAGTTATTCATCGACACAATCATTGGACTCATTTGGCTCGTCTTCATCGCCAGTGGTGTACAGCACAGAGACATCGATATCAGAGTTATCGGCGCTTCAAACGTCTTGCGCTGTCACCAGAAGAAGTCCTCCGTGTCATACATTGTCGTTCATTGCAGAAGTCATTCCTGAGACCATCAGTACTATCACTACCGATGACTCTGAGGCCAGTGTCTTCTCGAGCACTGATACTGTCTCCTATTGAACCCTAAAAAAGGGATATTTGAATCATATATAAATTTTATTATTAATAACAACAATTGTCTCACTATTTATAATTGTTTTTTTTGTCACTAAATTGTTAGACAAAATTAAAATAAAGTTATATTCAAATTAATTAGATTTACCTAAAAAGCCTATCACTTAAAAAACAGTATTAAATAGTTGACTATTTTTTGTTTTGTTAAAATTGTTATTCATATCTGTAATAATAATAATGTATTGAACTAATTGATAGCAAACTAATACTAATATTGATTTTTAATTTATAAAATAGTTTTATACATTAAGTTTTTTTAGCCAAAAATATTTTCAAATGTTTGATTAGTTTATTTTTCTGTTATATTTTGTCGGACATAACACTGGTGTCAATATAGTTGTCCTCTGAAACAGATGATTGACAATCAATTTTATTGACAATTCTATGATATCATAGATTTTATTTTTTTTTTTTTTTTTTAAATGTATTCACTATTAGATATTTTTTTTGTCTTTTACTATTGAAAAAATAATTTTTTAATTTTCAAGTTTTTTTTAACTTTTAACTACCGTAATATATAGGCAATATAAATACGTCAAATACGATACTTATTAATATACAGAAATTATATAAATAATTTATAACTAAAATTATAAATATAGAGTTTACTTATAATAATTTAGGGTATTTATCCAATAATATCGTATTGTAATATTGTGTATATTGTTATATACCGGTAGTAATCTTTAAATTAATAATTCATTTAAAAAAAATAAGATCTAATAAAAAAAACATTATTAAACAAAACAATAATTATTACAAAATTTATGTAAAATATTGATAAAGATATCATCATATAATTTAATCTATTATTAAAAAATTTATAACTTTCACTAAACATTTATTACCATATAAATATTTGGTCAATTAATTAATTATTTAGTTGAGTATTATTTTTCTCAAAAAAAACTAAATATTTTCAAAATTATTAATATTTTTATAATATTTATTATTTAAAGGTGTGCAAAATAATTATTACAATATTTATACTATATATATATATATATAGAAATGAAATATTTTGTGTAAATATAACTATACAGTATCTACTGTATAATTTTTAATTTTTAAAATTGATCCACAATAATCCATTTTACGTATGTCTACTTAAACAATATATAAATATATAATATATAAGTGTATAAAAAATTTTTAAAAATATTATATTATTACACATTATGTATTATTCAACACAAAATCGATTAATTTTTTTTGTTTAAAAAAAGACAACATTTACAGGAGTTTTATAAACTTTGAAAATTTTGTAATTATTGTTATTCTAAAACAAACAATTCAATAGTGAACTCATAGACTTGTATAAGAATTTGTTTCATATACTCTATATATATATATTTAGTTGTATTTTTAAAAAACATTTCTATAAATATATACAACAAAAATATGAATCAATCGTTAAAATCTCTAATATTATTAATTTTTATTTATGTTATAATACATGTGTCCAAACAAGAACAACAACCACAAGAGGACTCATTAATATCATTTGATAGACCAGACAATTGTCATGAAATAATCAAACAATGCTATCCATTGTTGTCGATGTCAATGATGACCAAAAAGTCTGATCCAAACACATTGAGAATGTCTAACAGATTTGGTAAACGAAATAATGCCGAAACACTTCGGATGAGTAACAGGTTTGGCAAAAGAGATAACGATTTCGAAACACTTCGGATGAGTAACAGGTTTGGCAAAAGAGATAACGATTTCGAAACACTTCGGATGTCTAATAGATTTGGCAAAAGATTGGCCACCGATGAGACACTTAGGATGTCCAACAGGTTCGGCAAATAATGTACTATTGATGTCACAAAGTTATGAACGGATGGAATGTTAGTCTAAAAAAATTAATGTAATTTTATTAAAATATATATTAAAGTAAATAAATATTATATTTATTAATTATGTTTGTTTTAATCTTAACTATGATATTGAAATGATTGTATTTTAAGTTTGTAATTAAATTATTTAATAATATATTTATATTAATTGCTTATAAGATTTGTTATAATTATATATAATTAATAAAAAAAAAAGCTATAAAATGTATTTAAAATAATTGAAGCAATTTTATTAATTAAAAAAAATTAAAAAAATTAAAAATAAATTTTATTTAAAAATTTTAAAAATTTATTTAATAAAGTTTTAATATTATGGCCGTTGACCATTACTGCTGATGAAGAGGAGCCGATCTCCTCGAAACAATTGTCCAGAAATTTACCGCTAGTTTGCGGATACAAAGTTGTGATCAACAAAGTAAGCAAAACTTACATTAATATAATAATGAGTGTCGACAACTACAAAAAACTTAATAAATTAATATTTAAATATTTTGTTTATATAGTAAATTAATCTAGTTTTATTAAATTAAAAACTTAATGTCAAACTATGTTAAAATATTTTAAGATAAAATATTAATTTAAAATACTCAATTTAAGTTTACTTTGAAAAATACTTATCAAAAAAGTAATAATAATAATAATGTATAGCATTTTATTACATATGTTGAAAAATAGTGAATGATATCATATATAAAGTTTAATTAAACTAAAATACTAAAGTATGATAATTATAAAAAACAATAAAATATTACATAATTTGTAAATAACACTCAAAAAATCAAATAAACATATTTTAAAGGTAATTCATTGTATTTATAAGTTATTTTTGATTGATTATATAAATTAATTAGCAAATAATACATTAACAACAATTACATCCTTGATTTAAAATAAATGTTTGATTATAAGTATGTTAAACCTCGTGTTTAATAAGTATGTGTGAAAATCATAAATTAATTTAATTATTTAACCAATAATATTTGAGATTCAAATTTTTAATATTGAAAATAATAATTGAACTTAAAATTTGATTTATAGCTCAATTTTCATCAGATTTTAATAAAATAGAAAAAAATTATAATAATAATAAACATAATTGTTTTAAACAACAGTTAAATAACTAATAATTAATTATATTTAGATTGCATTTCATTTATTTAAAAATACTAAACTAATTTAATAATAACAATAAAATTATATATTTTAGTATACTTATTAAATTTTTATTTTAGTATATATATATATATATTAAATAAACAAAAAATAATTATTTAAAAATAATTATGGAAATTATAAAATGAACAAATTTTAAAAATTACAATTAAAATTTCTATATTTTTTAACGTTTGATTTGACATTTGAATTATTATTATTTTTTAAAAATAAAATTTACTTAAGTTTTATAAAATGGATTATATGTTCAAAAATTCCATTTATTTTATTTAAGATATGATATAAAACCTGATGTGTGTATATGTTTTGCACCCGTATCTGATGCCATAAAAAAATGCTTTTAGTGTTTACAATCATAATATACAGTAATAACCTGACTGTATATATACATCACACTGTAAATGATGATTGCAGTCAAATATTAGAGTCATTAACTAAAAAGTATTTTGATGTTAAATATTTGTCGTCAAAAGATTTTTCAAGTTTTTATTTTATTTTGGAAAAAACTACTTTAAGAAAAAATATATTTTTTCATAAAAAAAATTTAATCTAACAGTTAGTAACACATATATAACCCAATATTTAAATATGCATTTCATTTGTTTGAGTTATTAAAATATAATAAAATAGTGATATTATTTGATTTATATATCTAAATTATTTATTTAGCAGTATTTTCATCAAATAAATCACTGATATATTGTTAAATAAAATATTAAATCATTTGTGATAATTATATTATTATTTATTATAACAATCATAAAAAAAATTATTTTTCATAAATCATACAGTACAATAAAAATGCTGTATAAATAATTATTGTTTTGGTATATATATATACACAGTTTACTGTTATATAACTAATTTTAAATATATTTAAAAATATTTGTTTAAATAGTAAAAAAAAGTATTATAACAAAATGTATTCATCAATTCAAAGTGCATCAAAATTATTGTCATTATTATTATATTTATTAATTGGTATATCTATAACCAATGTTTTGGCTGCCTATCAATATCCTAATGTTAGACGAGATGATAAAATTGAAGATAACTTTTGGGGCAAAAAAGTATCCAATTTTTTCTAAAAATATTTAATATTATATAATAAAAATATGATTAATTTATATTCAATAGCTTAAAGATCCCTATCGTTGGTTAGAGGATCCGGATAGCAATGAGACTAAAAAGTTTGTCAACGATCAGAATGGTGTTACCCAACCATATGTCAAGAAAAACAAAAACAGGGATCAGATCACTAAAAAGTAAATAATAACTTAATTTAATATCTAATGTAATATATTATCTGTAAATATATAATGTCTGTAATGTATATCAATATATTTTTATACGAAATTGTAGTTTTAAAGATATTTACAATTATCCAAAATATGGCGTTCCCTTTAAAAAGGGCAATAAATACTATTATTGGGCCAATACGGGTCTACTCAACCAAAATGTCTATTACTCGGCCGATTCGTTGACATCTGAAGCCAAAGTATTTTTAGATCCAAACCAATTGAGTGCCGACGGCACCACATCTTTGCATTTTATTTCATTTTCCAAAGACGGCAAATACTGTGCCTATGGTATCAGCAAAGGAGGATCCGATTGGATTACCATTAAGATTAAAGATACGCAAACACTAAAAGATTTACCCGAAACTCTGACCAAAATTAAATTTTCGTCGACCGCCTGGACTCACGATAATCTCGGCTTCTTTTATGCCGTAAGTACTTAACATGTTTAACAAAATAGTGTTTAATATTGTAATAATACTGTATATTGTTTATATAATATTAGTTTAATGAAAAAAACAAATAAATTTATATAATATTTGTTTTGTCAGTATTATGATGAGTATACCGGACCGGGTGAGGGAACCGATCCGAAACCACCGGAAAATCAAAAATTATATTATCATAAGATTAATACAAACCAGGATCAAGACATTATGATAACCAAATTCCCGGAACATCCTAAATGGCTTATGTATGATATAATGATAATTTTGAAACATAACTATAATATTAACCACAAAAAAATATTAACAAAAAATTTTTGTACACTTAAAGTGGTACACCTATAGTCAGTGATGATGGCAAATATGTACACATCTTTCCACAGGAGGGAACGTCAACTGTTTCGTGGTTTTTTGCAAAACTGTCGAAACAGCCCATCAATCAAGAGCTGCCGTTTACGCCCGTAAAAGACAAGGCCGACGCCGAATACTTTTATGTGACCAGTGATGACAACTTAGTCTATATGCGTACCAATAGAAATGCAGCAAAGTTTCGGGTCGTGAGAGTTGATCTCAATCAACCCGATGAGGTATAACCTAATTGTATAATAAACTAATTATTTTAGTAATTAATTTATAATTTTTAGTCCAATTGGGAGGTTATACTACCCGAACATGAAATCAGTGTTCTCAACGATGTTGTGGCAGTTAATAAAAATTATATGGCAGTCATTTATATGAGAGATGTGGTCCATATTATTGAAATACACCGATTAAGTGATGGACAATACTTGTGGGACGTCGACACACCCATTGGTACTGTCAATGGTATTAGTGGTGACAGAGATGGCAAAGAGTTATTTTACAAGATATCATCGTTTCTGAGTCCAGGAGTTATCTATAGATATGATTTCAATACTAATCCAAACACTATTAGTGTAAAATATATTTATGATTTGAATATTATTTTTTTTATAAAAAAATATTATCTAAAATTAAAAATAAATATTCTGTAATTGAATATAGATTTTCAAAGAATCTAAAGTTCAAGGACTAGACATCACTGAGTTTGAGACAAATCAAGTATTTTTCAAGAGTAAGGACGAGACAGTACGGGTGCCGATGTTTTTAGTACACCGAAAGGTTTGATATTATTTTATATTAATGTATATAATTCAGTATAAATCATATGGTTTTTCGCAAATAATCAAAAATTAAAGAATATCAAACTTGACGGCTCTAATCCAACCCTACTCTACGCTTATGGAGGTTTCAATATAAACATCGAACCGGGATATGACCCGTTGGCCACGTTTTTCATTAAACATCTTAACGGAGTCTATGCGTTGGCTAATATTAGAGGCGGAGGGTATGGTTTATAATGTTATTTTATTTTTTAAAAATTATTTTCAATTAATTTGATTAAATTGATTTCATATCAGAGAGTACGGTGAGAGTTGGCACGAGTCGGGTATGAAATTAAAGAAACAAAACGTTTTCGACGACTTTGCTTCAGCTGCTCAATGGCTCATCAATAATAAGTACACACGAAAGGACAGGTAGTTATTATTAATATTATAATATATTTTTTATAACTATTAATAATATTTACAAAATTTATTAAATACACACTTATGTTTGTCTAAAATAAAAAATTCATGGCTTATCAATAAATTGTTAGACTGACAATCAATGGTCGCTCAAATGGTGGTCTATTGGTGGGCGCAGTTAGCAATCAGAGACCCGATATAATTGGATGTTCATTGGCTAACGTGGGGTTAGTTGCTATTAATTTTCAATTATTTTGTTGTTAAATTTGGTACAAAATTATGTATTTTTTTGTTTGTGTGTATAAAGTGTGATGGATATGATACGGTTCCCAAATTTTACAGTAGGCTGGGCCTGGACTGAGGAGTACGGAAATCCTCAAACTAATCAAACAGAGTTTGAATATATTCTCAAGTAATTCATTCAATTAATAATTTATTTATTTAAAAAAAACAATATTTATCAAACATATACTACAATCATAGCATTTAATTATATTATATATATATACTGTATATATAGGTATTCACCGTTGCATTCAATAATAGATGTTCCGCCAAAATATCCAGCAATGCTTGTATTGACCGGTAATTTATTTAATAGATTATTATACTATGATATTATATAATAATATATTATTTTTTTAAAAAATTATATTATATATTATATTAAATATATAGCCGATCACGACGATAGGGTAGTGCCGGCCCATTCATACAAGTTTATCGCACAACTTCAGTACCAATTGGGCAATAAATTACCGGACACTCCGCTCATGATTAGAATAGACACCAACTCGGGTCACGGCGCGGGAAAACCGATATCCAAATGGGTTTGTAATTTAAAATTAAATAAATGTTATGCTATTTTTATCTACATTATTATCATCTCCAGTATATAATCTATATTATTATAATTAATATTAATTTGTTTTTTTATCTGTATTAATACCAAATAGATTGAAGAGTATACAGATATCGTATCATTTATATTGAATTCATTGAATATTGATTATCCCAAACAACGTTTGATAAATTAATTATTGCTTATAATTGCAACTAAATAATAACATTTATTAAATTATTTTGAATTATAATTGAATAATAATTATTATTATTTTTTAAATTTTTTATTTATATTCGTAAAATGTTTATAATATTTATAAAAATTATCAACTTATGCTAAATGCATATTAATTTATTAAATATCAGTAAATATAAATAAATAGTAAAACTTGTTTTTAAATAAATAAAATTTTAATGCGGGTCTCAAAAAAAAAGTTTCTGAAAATAAAATAAAAATATATATTTATAATAATTTTTAATAAATTATTAATTAACTGGCAATATGTTATTTATTATTAATTACATATTATAATTAAAACTCTATAATTAGATAAATTAGTGCACACATGTGTAACTCAATATTTTTTTAAATATTTATTAATTTTTTTATATCCAAAAATTGCGCTTGCACCAATTTTGTTTCACAATAATTGTAACAATAAAATACAGTAAATAATACAGTTATAGTTATGTCCATAAATTTACTATCTTTACATATATATATATATATATATAGCATAATACTATGCTTTACAGTGTACTATACTGTATAGTGAATGCTTATAACTAGTCATTTAGTTTTTCTGGTATTAAAAAATATGAAATACATTTGTATATTAATATCAACATAAAATACACAACCATTTAAATAACATTACATTAAAAATAACATTATTTACTATAATTTTCTACACAATATTATTACAGTAATACACATAATATGTAACACACATAACACTACACACAAGTGTTTGATGTCATCGATGCCAACACACAATACATTTTATAAATACATAAATCATATAAATTATTATTAATAATACTCTCAATTGTTATTATTATTATTATTAATTGATTTATTTAGTAATGCATTTATTATGTGTTAATAATAATAATATAAATCAATAACTCATTAATCAATTGATTTATTTTTGTTTTTATTTTTGTTTTTCACAAATATCTGTGATTTGTTGCATAACTTGTTGTTGTGTTTGAATGAGTCATATGTTTTGAGTTTACAATCAATTATTAATAGTAGAAATCAATTGTCCGACGGAACCAATACATAGACACTGACCGCCGCTACCGATACTGGCGGCCAAACAATGACCACATTTATGCCGAAGTGATAGACTAAGAGAAAACACGACCAAAAACGACAACAAAGTCGTCAATTGATTGTCACTTTGAAGATCAGATCGGCTTTTGATTGATTGACAATAATTATAACAAAAATGGCGTCACTTCGGCGGTCAAATGCCGCCAAATACTGGACACAATCGCTGGCGATCACAGTATTGGCATTAATGATGACAATTGGTTCGGCATTTCCCGGTTTCCTATCGGGTTCGGCCATCAAATCGCTATACAATTTCAACGATCCGGACATCCGATCGCTGACTGACACCAACTTTACTCATCACGTCTACGACGACAAACGTAACTCAGGTCGCGTCCAATTGATCCAGTTTTACAACAGTTGGTGCGGCCATTGTATTGCATTTGCGCCGACGTTCAAGGAGTTGGCCCGACAGGTACGCACGTGGCGTCAATTGTTGGCCATTCGGGTCGTAGACTGCGCTCAAGACATCAACACTAAACTATGTCGCGATATGAATATCAATGTCTATCCGACGCTCAAAATGTATTGGTTTAATCCCAAACACGACGATAAAGGCGTTGAACTCAATAGTAAGTGCTAAGAGATAAGCTGACAATCAGATTATGATTAATAATTTATTTATTTGTTTAGCCGATGAACGATCATCGGATGGCATACAAAAAGGTATTATTAAATGGATGGGCGAGAACTGGTCACGAGGAGTGCCTCGCCAATGGCCAGACCTGATGCCAGTGGCGGCCGAATCGAAAGAGCGATTTATTAAACTGCTTCCCATCGAAAAAGGACTTCCAATTGTATTGATTATCGAAAACGAAAAGTCATATTTGGGACGACAGGTAATTATTGACTTCCTGTGCCGTCACTATAGTGACTATTACTATAGTCATTATATATAATGATTAATGTTGTTGTGGTTTACTTTTGTTTTTTAGGTGATATTAGACCTAAACAAATACCAGTCATCGGTTACAGTGTTGCGTATGTTGGAGTCGACTGACACTTTAATCAAAGAGATATTACCGGAACCGTTGAACAATTACAAACTGCCAATAATGTTGAGCATCACAAACAAAGACTATATGTTTAAATTGCTGTCGAAGTGAGAAGACTTTTACATTAATATTTATGTTTTATGATTGACTGATCCAATGATTATTATCTTATTTTTTCTGTTAGGAATATTTATTCAGACAAAGATATTCGTTCAGAGTTTATCCGAATTATAAAAAAACAATTCGTTTCCAATAGTGACGACTTGGACACTGATAGAGAGGTCAGTGTTCAACAATTAGCGCCCAACAAACAACCTGAAGACTCGTCGGTGGCCAAAATCATGGGTAGTATCGAGAGTCCGACCACTGGTCAACGTCTATCGATGGTTGACCTCAACAATGCACTCCGAAATTCACTTTTTCATGAGGTGGCACTCAAGAAGACATTAAACTCAACTCATTTAAATGCACTCAAGAATTACTTAACAGTACTTGAACTTCATTTTCCGTTCCAATCAAACAAAATGCAAACATTTGTTAAATACCTCAACGAATGGTTGTCAAAGAAGCGGGTAACTGATGTGGATGTAGAGGACATGTTGGCCACAATGAAGACATACGAAGAATACTATCACTTTCCAGAGATGAAGCCGTGGAGTACGTGCGCTGGCAGTGATGCCAAATATCGGGGATATCCCTGTTCTATGTGGACTATGTTTCACACATTAACAGTTGCTGAATACAAGAATACTCTTCGGTCACAAAAGTGGTCGACATTGCATTCAGTGTTATATGCAATGCGTGATTACATTAAAAACTATTTCGGCTGTACGTATTGTGCGAAACACTTCCAGGAGATGTCCACTGAACTGGAGTCTACGCTAACCTATCCGAACAGTTCGGTACTATGGCTGTGGAGGGCTCACAATCGAGTCAACAAACGACTTCATGGAGACCCCAGTGAAGATCCAAAGCACCCGAAACAACAATATCCTACTCGAGAGGACTGTGCCGAATGTTATGACCCAAATGGCCAGTTTGTCGAACGAAATGTATTCGAGTTTTTGTTACGACATTATTCGGCCGATAATATTGTTAAAGACGAATCGGAATTGAAAGCCGAATTACGGGCCGACAGGTTAGACAAACAGGGATTAATTAGTAGTAATAATAACAATAATAATCATGATTTAAATGATAATAATAATAACAAAAATTATAATTATTTTAATAATAATGATATTAATAATAGTGTTAAATCAGGCGATGAAAGTCAACGATCGGCCAATACTTCAATCAAAGCAATTAACGTATTTAATAATATGGACTATAGTTTACTACTCATATTGTATATATCGTCGGCGGCCATACTTCTGACCATTTGTGTCTATCTTAAGATAATTAAGCGAAGAAGAGGCCAAAAATACAATACACTTAAACCGTCGTTCGCTTAAAACTGATTGACTGTCAACCAAACGGACATTATTTTAATGATTATGATATTAACGAAGTTTACCGTAAATTTTAATATCATAATTTAATTTTAATTTATATACAACTTATTGTTTTGTATATTATTTTTTAATCAAATCATTGATTAAGACTTTTTAAAAACAATTTTTAAAACAATGTTATCTATCAACGAGTCATTTGAATTGTGAAAATATGAGATTATATATGAAATGATGAGTTTATTTTAAAAAAATAATAATAAATTAATAATCATGAAATTAAATATTTTTAAATAATAATATTATTTTATTTTACATTTTGTATTATGTAATTATTATTAATTAATTGTTAATTAAATTATTGAAAATTTTATTATAATTAACTATATATTTATTTAATAATTTATTCATTCATTGTCTACAACAACAACAGTTTGATTTAATTGACATATATTTCTATTAATACGATAAGCTATTATTTCAATAATTATAAATGCAATGATCACTAACACAATACTGGCGATGTTTACGTACAATAAAATATACGGATAATTGCTTATATATTGGCCAACAATAATCGGGTCTACGGTTGCTATTATTGCACACGAAACGGATAGTATGCCGCACACTGTGTTTGTCAATCGTATACGAGACTCCATGTATGAGAATATTGAAGGAAATACAGTTGAGAAGCCAAAGCCAAGTATAACGGTTCCGACATATAACCAAATTTCGGATGTATTGGCCGACAGATAGAGTATTAGATTACCGATTGATATGAGTATAAAATTTGTGTATAAAAAGTATTTGGGCTGTACTTTGATGGCCAGTATTATACCGATTCCACGACCTAACTATCAAATTATTGGAAAACAATAATAAATGTATTATAAAAAACTAGATTTCTATTTAAAAAAAAATATTTTTTGTATGTCTTACCGTATAAGAAGCAGACATTACAGACATAATAACATCAGATGTTTGTTCCGATAATTTAAGATCAGTGTTGACATTAAATGTGGACAAGTATTCAAAGTTAATATTTTCCATTCCCTCGTAAAAGCAAAGCATAATGGATCCGGTGATCAGTATTGAGATCAAGTATTTTCCGCTTAATTGTGGTCTTTCATCATCACTGCAATCCTGTATAGACTTTGAGTCTATACTTGTATGCAAAAGATTTTGTGTCAGACTGTCAGTTGACTGTCTTTCCTCTGTATGAGTCACTGATGATAATGAAGATATCCTTCTTGTCGAGCTTACAGTGGGTTCACCACTGATGTTGATATTACCTAAGTATATAAATAACAAAAAAATGTTACATATTATTCAAACTAAACAAATGCATGAATAGTAAAATTAATAAATAATTTTTAAAATTAAAATAATAACAATAATTATTATATTATTAATAAAATATTATCATTAGATAATATAATTTTCAATAATACAGTATACAGTACTCTATAGTATAATACTATTAATAAGCAAAATCAGGATAATATAATATTATACCTAAATATTGACAATTAGGTTCATACGGTTTAATTAAATACATGATAATTATGATCGCCGCTGATGTGGCCAATAGTGAACCTGTTATACAATACGGGATATAAATACGAGAATCGGTGGCCTCGGGACTGGTATTGTTGGTTTCGTAGCTTATATTTGTCAATTGTTTTTCAAATGATGATATAATTTGATTGTAATAGATATAGTTGTGGTGATGAACACCAAACTGTGGTGCATCTAATGTCATGTTTTTCATTGACATTTGCCGTTGCATTATATCTACGCTGATATTATTGACCGACGGTAATGTTGTTGTGTCGCTCAAGAAGCCGATGCTGATCAACGGTGCCAGTAATGAGCCCAAACCAAACATAAAGTGCAGGGCCTGCATGTATGGACCGTTATCCCGGAGCCACATTTCCAGTAACCAGGCATTGCATGCCGTGTCAAATCCTTAAGTAGTAAACAATATGTCATAATTGTTACTGATTTATAAAATATTTGACAAACCATACCTCCCTCACCAAAACCAAATATAATTGACAACTCCATGAACACAGTGTATGATTTAAGTACCGGAGTCAGTGATGTGGACAATGCCATTAAAATCAAATAAAATGCAACCATTAGTTGCCGGTTGATGTGATTGTGAAGAAATAGACCTTTTTATTTCAAAAATATTATGATTTATATTTAAATAACGATTATATATTACGTTAAATAATATATAAAAACCAGAAAATGCTCCGATTGTATACCCGATGGCCATCAATGAGTTGCCGTACGACATGTCCTTCTGTGTACTATTCAATAGGCCGACCAACTCGACCCATGTCGGACCCCATATGTTATACGACAAACCCTATTGCACTCATTTAAGTTAATGATAAATAAATTTTTAACTTAATCAAAATAATATATCATATATTTTTAATATAAAATATTTATATAAATAACAAATTATCAAAAAAAGTTTTAATTACATAAGAAATATAACAAAAATAAAGTGCAAATGTTGTCATCAGTATATGATATTTTCCCGGTGCTCGTACTGGCACTGGTGGCTCTAAATTATCCATTTTTTTAATAATATTAACTTAATATATAATTGATAATTAAAAAAATTTTTAAAAATTATTAATAGTTTATTGTATAAAACTTATTGATATGTATATACAATATATATGAAAAATCAAAATATCACAAATTGTTTTGATAAAATGTATAATTTTTATTACGTTTTTACTATTTTTTATTAATAATAAAATTAATAACTAATGTTGTAATTTTTATAAATATTTATATTATTTTTGGAAACATGTTTCGATGATTTGTCATAAAAAAAATTATTAATTAATATTGAAGGACAGCTAAATAAATATTGTTAACTTAAACATACGGTACTAAAGTTATGTATTGTATAACATGTTATTTAGATGCAAAACATGATACAGTATATCAGTAATACTGTATAAAAATAGAGTACAAATTTAATTCATATGATATAATATTTATTGATTCAAATTGTATTATATAAATAAAATATACTTTTTTTTATTTTTGCAGTTTATTACTGTGCAATTATGCTATAATACAATATAAGATATGTATATAAGATAAGTGTAAATTTCTGCAAATAAATTAATTTTTCCTTAAATTATTGTATATTATCTATAAAAAAATACTATATACAGTAAATAACAATTAAACAATAAAATAAAAATAAAAAGTTAAACTATCACTATTTGCTATTATTTTATTGATAATATACTGTGTATATTGAAAATATAGATCTCTTAAAATTTATCAATACATTAAAATAAATAATTTTTTATATATATTATTAGCAATTAGTCATCAATCAAAAAATCAAATAAAAAAATAAATATATTTATCTAATCATATAATAAATAAATTAATTAATTATATGTAAATATAAAATCAAAATTATAGGACTTAAAGTTAAATATAAATTGTATTTCTAAAATATATAAATACAATACAAAATATTAACATAAGATTTTATAAGACATTTGTTTTAAAAGCAAATTTACAAAAATTTATAGACACAGTAATACAGTATATAGTGTTAAATTAACAATGTTATCATAAATTCTCATAAATTATATTAAATATAATCTTATTTTTTTATATTATATACAGTAAGAAGTCTTAAAATATGCAAAGCAAACAATTATAGTAATAAGCAATTGCTTGAACTGTATATTTCCCGTGAGTTTATATTTTTTGATATATTTTCATACAAAATGCAAATCAAATGTTGAAACTTAAAAACTAATAGATAAACGTGCTATAAATTAACAGCAATTTTTTGTTTTGTTTTATTTTATATCAAATTATTGTATATATTTTACTATTAATAATAATTTGCAAAAAATATTTATATTTCATAAAAATTAAATGATTTATCATTTATAAGACAAAAGTTTTTGTTTTAAAAAACTTATTCACAAAAAAATAATAGTCTTATATACTGTAGATTTATATTTTGAATTTATGATATGATATATCATTGATTATAATATTTATGGAAATTAAGTTTAGTTGACATTAAAGTTATTTTTTTACGTTGAAGAGAGAAAATTAATTTTTCCATTATTTTTATGCATAATATCGTACATAAAATACAAATAGTATTGTATATTATATAAGTTTTCCCTTAACTATACAGTAGACATGATTTGTTGACTATGTTATGTAAAGTCTATATTATAGTCTACATAATGTATATATTAATCTGCATAAATTTAAACATATATTTTTTAATCACAAGTGAGATGAATAAACCAAATATACAATATTAACAACATTGAGGGTAAATAAGTGAGTTAGTGTGAGTGAGTGAGTGAGTGAGTGAGTGAGTGAGTGAGTGAGTGAGTGAGTGAGTGAGTGAGTGAGTGAGTGAGTGAGTGAGTGAGTGTGTGTGTGTGTGTGTGTGTGTGTGTGTGTGTGTGTGTGTGTGTGTGTGTGTGAGGGCGACCTTCAATAAGAGGAAAAATTTAATTTAAAAATCAGTCAATGACTGCTCCAAACAGGACTTCTCTTAAACAAAAAAATCTCACCTTAAGGTCAATTGTTTAGAAATATTTATTTATTTGTGTGTGAGAGAGAGAGAAAGAAAGAGAGAGAGAGAGAGAGAGAGAGAGAGAGAAAGAGAGAGAGAGAGAGAGAGAGAGAGAAAGTAAGTGTATTTAAATTGATACATAAGTGACAATCAATACTTAAAATAAGATAGGTCTAGAGATTAAATGATAGTCTAAAATACAGTATTAACTAATATATCAATTTTAAGGTATAGTCTATGACCTAATTATAATCAATTATAACTGAATAAATATTAGGTCAAAATTCAAACAACAGTTTAATAATGAAATAACGTTTTTTTTGTCAATTTCAAAAATTAAACCTAACTTAAATAAAATCTAATAAAACTTAATAAAACTTAAAGTTATTCTATACAGCAAAAAATATAACTAAAATAATTAATAAAGAAAATTATTTATTAATATTTAAAATTAAATAAATAAGTTATTAATGTATTATATCATAAATCTATTTCTCTGTAAACTTATACTAATTTTAATATTCTGATGAATACAGTCATCAAACCGCTGCCAATCCTTAAACCTATTTTTTAATTATATATATATATCTGTATTAATATTACTGTAATATAAAATAATAATCCACTTTCTATTTATTTAGTGATAATAATACTACAAATAATAATATATGTTTTTTATAAAATAGCATTTATTTATATGAAAATATTTTATATTTGTTGTTGACGTCATAATAGCAAATAAAACCGATTTTAATGATTTTATTATAATATAAGATTAAGTTACAAATATTTGTTTTTACAGCTATTTTTTAAGCTTAAGTTTTTAAACTATTAAATAAAAAGTGATATTTTATTTGATAAGTATTTAGTTTACCCCATAATTTTTTTGTTGTTGTAAAAAACCACATAATTATTATTTTATTAATTATTATCCATAAACAGATATTGAATTACAAATAAAATTATAATTGTTGTTAAAAAAATTGTTTTTTAAAAATAATTAACAAATATTTGACTTTTATAAGACATTTTATTTGATTTTTTATTATCAACGTCATCTCACAAATTATTTATCATATTTCAGTAACAATTAATACAAACAATGTTATATTATAAACAATTTTTTCCTGATTTGTGATACATTTTGACTATAATTTATTTACATTATTATTATTATTATAATTATGGGATTGGCGTGTGATTTATGTGTATTTGTTATGTGTAATTATTTGTTATTTTAAATAAACAATTTTGTATTTAATTATTATGAATTATATGTGTATGTTTTTTTTTTAATAAATTTTAATGTGAATAAAATTATATATTTAAATATAAATACTGATAATTATATGATAGTGTTGTAAGCGTGTCATCTCATATTTAATGTATGTTTATATACTGTATATTATTTAAATATATATATTGAGCATATTTACTAGTATTCAAAATTACTGTATATGTAAAATGACAATTAATTAGATTTTATAATTTAAAAAAAAGATAATTATAAAAAATTTAACAACAAATTAATATACACAATTAACAATAATTAAAAAACTTTTATAATTAAATAATTTGAGTGTAGAAAACAGTTGTTGCACTTATTTTTTATAACTGTAACAAAATTTAATAAATTACATAATTATTTAGGACTAATGTATAGGCAATGAATACTGTACATACCCTTCACCATATCCTCCTCCATGTCCTCCTCCATAGCCGCCATCATCGCCGCCACCATATCCACCGCCATATCCACCTCCATATCCACCTCCATAACCTCCGTCATCTATACCATAGTCATGAGTGATGGTCGAGCCGTAGTCATTGCCGCCATAACTGCTTCCGCCATAACTGCTGCCACCATAGCCTCCACCGTAACTATCGTATCCCTTCTCTTCTTTGATATAAACGGGTACTTTGACCGGATAGGGCACCGGTACCTTCTTCTCAACGTAAACCGGGTAAGGTTTGGGCACTTTGACTGTCTTGATGATGGGTTTCACATAGTATGGCACTTTGACTGGCACTTTGACCGGATAGGTTTTGTAGATGTGGACCGGATGGTACTCATCTATTGTATTACAAGAGTATAATAAATAGCATAACATTAAACTATAATAGTATTTCACATTACATTAGCGATACTATGGATTTAAAAATGATTTTAATTGAATAGAAAATTGATATATTATTAATAAGCTAACTAACTAATAGTAACTAATTTTAATTATTATTAACTTAAATTACCTTTTTCAATATAGATAACATGTTTGTGGTCGTCATCTTTTTTGTTAAAAAATATGGCGTCACTGATGGCCACAAAATATAAGACTAAAAGAAACAGAATTGCAATCAAATTCTTCATGATTTTGGCCGAAAATTAATTTTATAGATTAACAATACACTTGAAAAACACTATTAAATAGTTATCACTTTTTTTGTTAAATAAAAAGCTTTTATATTATCAAAGATTATATGACTTTCACTTTCAACGATGTTTATCATCTATTTGTCTGACAAACCAACTGTCAGTCGGGCTTTTATATACAATGATCTCTACACTCATATACCAGAGTTACTGGCATTTGTTGTTTTGTTGTTGTTTTAATTGACTGATTAATTGGGCAAATATTACATAATTTTTTTTGTATATGTAATACCAGATCTTTGGGTCTTTCAGATGTATGGCAAATACCAATTAGTAGTCTCCAGAGCACTAGATTTGCATAAAGAAAACCAAAGAGAGAGAGAGAGAGAGAGAGAGAGAGAGAGAGAGAGAGAGAGAAAGAAAGAAAGAAAGAAAGAGAACTGTTATTTAATGACAGCTTAGACTTGGAGGTCAACACATCAGACATCAAATCAGTGTTGAGTGAGTGCTATGGGAGGGGAACTGGAGATAGACTGTGGCGATAGTGATAGTGAGTGGAAAAAAGGTCATAAAGTTGTAACACAATCTACTTTTTTCTGATTTCAATTTAAAATGTATTTAATAACAATAATAACAATAATAACAGTGAAAACAGTTTCCAAATAAAATCTTTTTTTTCATATATCGGGTGCTGAAAGAGGAAGAACATGTTTACCTGAATGTCATATACCAGTGCTGTAAACAACTTCTCTTGTTTTTTTTCTCATTAGACTTTAAATTGATATACATATACAGCTAAATGGTATATAAAATATGTGATACAATAAATGTATGTTTTATTTATTTATTACAATTATCATAATAATAATCATTAATCTTCTCAGCAGTACGTGTGGGGTTCACATATGAAATGTAATAAAACTTATAATTTTTTTTTAATATGAGTTTCTTGAATAAGGTATTGTTTTTTGTGTAATATTACTCGTTTAGGGCATTGTTTTAGGAAAACCACACAAAAAAATGTTTGTTTGTATGAGAGGGGAAAAATGTTATAAAATATTTTTAAAATAATAATATACAATATATATACTGTATATATGTAACTATTATCTGAAATAAGTATATTATAAGTGATTTTGATCTAATATGATTGAGTTTACAATCAATTTTTATTAATTTATATTTCATTAAAAAAAATGTTTGATTGTTAATCAAATAAGACTATAATCTCAAGTGTTATCTGAACTTAAATTTTTTAGTTAATAATTTTTTTTATATGGAAATTGGTTTTAACAAATAAATTATTTAATACTATGATATATCTAAATCTTTAATAAATTAATTTATTAGAAAAATTAATAGTTTTTATTTAATAATTTATAATTACGTATTGTTTAATTTAGTATAAACAGTATTTATAATAAAAATTAAAATTGTGGTCAATATTTTGTAACAAAATAAAATAATTGTTAAACCCATGTAAAAACCCATCTATATTATGGTGGGTAAAGCTAAATGTTTTTTTTTATAATAATGATAAAATATATTTATTTATAAAAAATAAAATTCATTAAACACGGAAACATTGAATATTTAAAACAAACAAAAATAAATAAAAATGTGACCAGGCCCTTTTTAATTAAGGCCATTAATAATATAAACATAAATATATTGACTATTTATTTATTTGACAAATTATTTGGTTTATTACAAAAAAAACAAAACAAAAATTATATAAAATTAATAATTTTTAAAAATCTAACTTTTTTATGACTTAATCCAAATTAACAGGGTATTTAACTTTAATTAAATAATTTTTTTATTTACGTTGAAAAAAAGTTTGAAAGTTCACTGGAAAAAATTGTTTAATTTTTTTATTTAAAGATAAACTTTAGAAAATTAAAGGACAAATTTTTATCTAAAAAATTATAGTAATAGTGAGTGAGTGAGTGAGTGTGTGTTTGTGAGCTAATTAATCAATGAGAAAATAGTAGATATTATCTAAGATTTCTCTGAGCAAATATATTATATATTTTTTTATTACTTTAATAATATATATTATTAAGCAAATGATCTAAACATCAAAACAAGCGAATAAAAAACATATGATTTGACAATAAATATTACACATTATTATTATTATTATTATAAAAGCGTTTCAAAACATCTAAAGTATATTTAATACTGATATGGATTTTATAGTAAATTTGAAATGCTTTCAATCAAATGCTATCACAAACGTATAATAAAATAAAACTTTCAAAAAAATTAATATATAAATCATTTCAATCACAATTGTGACTGTAATTATATTCATATTGATTTTTAGTGATACTATAAATTAAAATCTTATCAGTTTATTTAGCATAAAATATGTAAGCCATGTATTAGCTATTCAAATGGGTTATTATATTATAGAAACAAAAAATAATAATATATATTTAAAAAACAAATTTTTGGATTAATTATTAGGAAATTATTAAAATTTTATGTTTACCTTGAATTTTATGGTAAAATTGATTGATTATTAATATTAAAATTCAAAATAATTCCGGTGTTTATTAAATAATTATATAATAATAATAATAATGTCATAATAGACAAAAAAAACTTATTAAGCATTAAAACATATTAAGTTATTATGCCATAATAAAAAATAAAACATTTTATTTAAATAAACTAGTTAAATTAATTATTTTGTCACAAAGTTTAATTGTTTGATGTGTTAAGTACATAATATATTAAAATATATTTCTTAATTTATCAAATTTTAATATCTTATTATTAATTATTATTTTTAGTGTAATATAAATTTATTATATGATATATTTGGTATAACTATATATATGTTTAAATTTATCCATTAAAAACAATAATTATTGAAAATATTAACATTATAATATAAAATTATAATGTATATTAATTTATAAAAAGATTTAATTGGATATGATTTAAGAAAATATTTTTAAATTACTATAATTAATATTTAATTTTAAATGTTAATATTTGTTATTAATTTAATTTTATTATATAAATACTGTATTACAAAGTTGTTTTTGAAAAATACTATTACATAACTTATAAATTTTAGTTTAATTGTAATTGATTTTAAGTATAACTACATTTAATAGAGTCATGTTTTACTCACGATTTTATTGTTTTTATTAAATATGTAATGTATATTATTTACAGTTATATATATATATATTAGATTTAATATTTTAAAAATCATGAATACAATAGATTTGGTTTAAAATAACTCATAAATAAATTTACAAAATTATTGTTTTTATTATATAATAAGTTGATTTAATATTATAATTTAATAAAAAACAAAATATTATGACAAATCTGTTTCTAAAATTATTTATCCGGAAGTATTAAATACCAAAAATAAAGTGATGATTAAATCTAATTTGCTTAACATATATGATATACAGTATGAATGTATCATAAGTTTTCTAATAATGATAACAAATTTTTTCAAACAAAAAAAGAAAATCATGATTTTTAATTATAAATGAATTGCTAAGAAAATATAAAAATCTTTAAATATCCTAAATAAGTGAAATATTTCAACAATTTGCTAATATTTATAATAATTAAAAAAAAGGTGTAAAATTGTAATAATTACGCTACAGTTTAAGTATATCAAGTGTTGCACTTTGAAAAAAATTAAATAAATCAAAGGTGAAACTGAAAAAAATGTAGATTAGCCTGAAGTCATACCTGTGCTCTCAGAAAGTGCATAGAGTTAAACACTTACTCTCACCTAATTTAAAACACAATATAACTTAAGTACAGTATATATATATATATATATATATATATATATATATATATATATGAGCAATAAGTCTAATTCATATAAACCTTATGTGTGTAACCTTTTTGAAGACCTTTTGTATTGTCAAATGAGAGCAAAAGTTTTTTTTTCATTACAAATAAATATTATAATTTTGTTTTTGCATATATATATACACAATCATTTGAGAGAGAAAATAATAATAATAATAATAATAATTGCAAACAATTAAATTACTTGTTTGTTGTATTAGATATGACTATCTAAAAGGAAAAAACATTAATTAAAATTCAATATAATTTATATTATTTTGATTTACAGCCGAAATACATATTTTTTGATTAATTTATTAATTTGATTATTAACAACAAAAATAATAACTATATTATAATAATAATATTAATAACAAAATAATTATAATTTACTTATAATACGATTGTATAATATTGATTAATATTTGTTTAGTTTGTCATAATTACTATTATTTTATAGTGATAATTATATTAATAAATGTATTGTATTATTATTATTATTATAATCATCATAAATATATAATTAGAGCATTAACTTGCAATTTAACACAAAAAAGTAAATAACAAAAAATAAATATAATTAATAAAGATTTTTAATTAAATTTACGATATTTCCGGTAGTATTGTATTATAAAATATATTTTTACAAATATAAGATTTATTTTCTATTAAATTTGATTAAAAGTTATATTGTTTAGTAAAATTTATTTGTTATTTTTATTCAAATTCATGCAATAAACATAATTACATAAATATATAATGATTTTATGTATGATATTATATTATATATAAATATATATATATATTAGAAATATGTTTAATAAAAACAAAAATTAATCTTTAAGATCATGACTCTATTAATGATTATTAAAATGTGATTTTTTTAATAATGTTATTTTAATTTTATTTATGTTTAAAATAACTTTTGACTAAAAAATGATTTAAGATAATCTTTTAAATTAATTGTATTTAGTAATTATCAAACTATTTATGATTCATTAGACTATTATGCGGAAACTATTTGATAAATTTATACTAAACTTAAAATATAAAAAATTTAAAATTTGAATTTTACTAATATTTTTTATTAAAGTAAATTTAATTATTTGAAAAATAAAAGTAATAAAAGTAAAATTTGAACAGTAAAGTATAATAAAGTA